TTCTCTTGCAGCAGGACCATCCCTGGAGAGAGTGAGAGAGACATTAACTTTGACCAGATAACGAGACACAAGCTAACTGAGCATTTTCAGGCATTTTACCTTCAATGCATCGTGGAATACTGGGACTCCTGGATGATAGGTGCAGCCATCTGTGAAATAAGACACAATTTAGAGGGAAAATGATGGTGATACAGGAAACCGCAGACTGTATATAGACCTGTAGCTTTTATGGCTTACTTTTAACGAATTCTCGTTTCATAAAAGAAACAAAACTTTAAGCTCTTAAAATGCACCCTAAACCGTGGCAAAAAGCTCATTTAGAGATTGTAGAATAGTTCTGAATGTGGCGAGGCGTTTAAGGAATCAACAATTACAAATAGTATACAGTCAATTTCAACTGTTAAAGCACTGTAACACCAGTGATGTCTTGTCTGCTCTTGCTCCTCCTTTCATGTGTGGTGCATTTCTCAAAGGACTTGGCTCAGCCGTGTCTGATGCTGCCTTCAAGGCCGTCTGAAGTCAGTTTAGAAACGGAGCAGGAAAAAGTTACACTGGTTTGTTAACGTGCACTCAGCTGGACACTGTACTATTTCTAGCAGTATTTGATGGCTATATGGGGTCATGGCTGCCCCTAACTACATGTGTCATAATGCAAGTGAGAAGGAGTTTTAAAACTTTTTTTGTTAAAATGACCTAATATGCAGAGATGAATGTATGTTATGAGTAAAATAATATACAAAATGCCTTTCTTGGAGGGAATTCAGTAGTTAACTGGAAACACCTAGTGAGTAATAGGAGTACTGTCATCCTGTATGTGAAAAGAAGAAAGAAAGTGACACTGATATAAAATAATTCAATCAGACCACAGACTTAGCAAACTAAAAAACACAAAAAGAGAAAAGAGAATTTAAGCTTTAGTAGATAATGATTTTTAGACACTTTTTAGAAAACTTCAAAACAGACTATAATTTTACATAAAACTTAAATGATTTGCATTTGCACAAAATACAGATACATTATTAATTCAGGCATTAGGAAATTAATTGGGAAGATTTATTTAACTCTTTTTTCAAAGGAACACATTTCAATGGGAAAAAGTTTCTCAGACAAGCAAAATTTAAATATGACTATCTGAACACAAGAACACATGAACATTTTATAATAATACATTTTTAAACTAATATTTATGATACATTAGAAATACCATCTGAAAGTTTGACAAATCATCATTTGAGCTTTGCCTTAAATGGAAAGCACAGCATGATTTTTTAAATGCCCTCTTTTTGGAACTGCCTTAAAAGACAAATCACAGCGGACTGAATAAAAACGTTTGGCTGGATGACACCATGAATCAAGCATTTGCCACACAGCACTGCCTGAGCTGCGCCCCTTCCATGCGAATGCCCTAGATACACCTAGATACCCCTAAAGGTAATGATAACATACTCTGCTGTTATGAAGAGAGGCATCTGATTAAAATGGAAATAGACTCGACTCCTGCATTGAGTATCTGGTAATACACAATGTTATATCACTGGAAGACAGGAGGGGACATTTCTAACAAAAAGGAAATAAAGAACACGTTGAGATCTGTCGTGGTAGCTGAACACAACACCTCCAACGTTCAATTACATTTAGAGCAGTGGCTTCATCTAAAGAATGGTTTCATGGGCAAACTGCCTTAAGATCGAGAAGTGAATTATTAGGACAGTGATCTTATCCCTACACAACCTCATGTAAGTGAATTTCCTAGTGGTGTTGTTGGGGTACTGCACCACAGGAAGCACACACACAGGTTGTGGCTGAGAGGAAGAGCAGGTCATCCACTAATTGGAAGATGGGCAGTGTGATCCCCCTCTCCTTGGGCAAGATACTGAACTTAAAATTGCTGCTGAAGGCCATGCCATCGGTTTATTGTTGTCTACCGTTTATTTAAGGATCCCGATTAAAAGCGTATGTATGTTCCCCTCAGTCTTCCTGGGGTCCAGAAAAATGAAAAATGAGACTTGCCTCCAGGAAGATAGAAGTCATAAACTGCATCAAACATGAGGAAGAGCAACAAGATGGGGAGATTTTTTTTCTTTGTTGTTTGTTCATGATGACAAGTGTGGTGTTTCAAATGTCTCTGCCTCTCCCAGGGCATCTTGTGTCACATCAAATCAACGGTCTGGCCACTGTTTTGGCGAGGAGTATGCACCGTATTCAATGTACTGGGGAGACTGCTCTTCTTTTACAGAACGATATGAAATGGCTGGCAGGAGACAGTATGGGTTCAAAATACACTTTGGCTTTCCTCAGGCATATCACTTTCTGGTAGTAAGAAAAATGATTAGCTCATAAATACATCTTACTTATTTTCATTTCTTATGGGTTTGTCAGATTTGGTGCTTCTAGTTTTTGCATCTTTGTATTGCTGAAGGCCAGAGTTGGTATAAAAATGAGGTTTGTAATTAAAAACACATACTCACATAAGGAAGTTCACACACAAAATAACATTATTGGCTGCATTGTGGTGTAAGGGTGGCTGTGGTATCCAGTTAGTCACTGGCTCCACTCTTTAATTCAGATTTATAGTAAAGCACAGGTCCAAAGCTGATGTGAAATTCAACCTCTTAGCCAATCCAATGGACTAACACACATAATGTTCCGTTTAAAAGCTAAGGTTAACATTACTGTTGACTGTCTTTCGAGTAGTTAAGGACAGATTTCACTCGTGGTAACATAGTTAAGTGTTGTGTGACAACATTGAGGAATGTGCTGTAGATACTCTTTGTGTAGTAAAAACCTTGAATGAGGTGTTTCTTTAACTTTAACCTGCTTACTGTGTGCTCTGACAAAGTCCAACATTACCCTCGAACCTGCTAATTACGCGAGCTTAACATGCTAACAACATCGTGATAAGTCACAGCAGGCACACGTGTCACTGGCTTCCCGGGTTATAATCTACAACGGGATTTATGAATGGAGTCACTACAGTGTCGGGTCCAGCCGGCTAACGAATGCCAGGCTAGCTACATGGGCCCCACCAGGCCTGCACGCTGTAGAAATTTCCAGATGATCAGAGGTTAGCTTGCTAACGGACTGTAACCGGGCTCAGCGATAGTTAACTCAGATACTACTCACCGTCTGGGTTATTTTCTGGATCAAATCGCTGTCCACAGCCCTTGTTATAACACAACACGGACATGGTGGCGGGCGGAACAAGTTTAACTGGTGGCCAGACTTGTAACAAACCACAAAAAAACAAAAGTGTGCGTGTGTATGTGTGTGTGATAGCGACCCGCAACCGTAGTGTACCGCTGTACGTTACACTGGTCTTCACTTCCGGATGTTGTCGGCTACACTCGGCAACGATCGGAGGCTTCCCGACCCGCCTCCAGCCTGTGAGCGCTCCGCGGTCCCACACAATTCTGACCGCTTCCAAACTTGCGTTAAGCGACATGTTCTTTATACCACATTTGTGTCGGACCTTAAGCTTCCGGCAAAGCAACACCTAACTGTTTTAACTTCAGTTTTGTGTTAAGTGTTGCAGATAAAAGCCCGAAATAGCCAACTGACTCAGGGTTACAGTAGTCAGGTGCATGAAACTGGGGCAATAGCTATTTAGTTTTACGAGGATGGCTGCAGCCTAGTAGACAACAGCCTTTCGGGATATGTGCACATGAATATTTTTCCATTTCGCGATTCACCATCGACTTCTGGGGGACTGTTTTTGCGCGTGTTGCTTTTTTTTCTTTCCTTTTTTAAAACCATTGTCGGAGATAGGATGGGGAAGGATCTACATTCACTGATTACAGCTGTTTCGTCTAAAGGTAGGGCACGCTGCGATGTGAGTGGTGTCTGTGTACAATACAAGTTAATGCATCTGCAGACTGTAGCTACAGATTGTAAACTCGTGTGATTTTGCACGGAGGCGAGCTCCACTGAATCCGCATCAACATGGGAGACAATGAATGCACCCCAATATCTCCTGGGACAGTCACCCTCGGGGGGAATGTTGATTTGAGTCGTAGGTGCTGATAATAATCTATTGCCTACTATAGGTCCTGCATACAATATACAAGTGGGCTGACATTTCATATTATCAGTTGTGTTGTTTGTTTCTCTTATTTTATTTGTAAATTTGTATTTGGATTAGTTTCTGTCGAAGTTGTATGATCAAGAAAAGGCTACTGTAAAGGCGATGCATAAAACATTTGGTGTACAGTAGCCCAGGCAGTTTTTTTTAAAGCATTTGTAATAAAAAAAAAAAAAGGAAATATAATGTTTTTAATTAGGCCACCTAATTTTCGCTTTTTCTCCCTTTCTGATAAATTATTTTTTTTAATTTTTGTGCGTTTTAGTTAACCTGATGGTTACTTTATATAAGGAGGATGTTTAGAAAGTGTTTTTCAAATTTCTAAGAAAGTGTTATTTTTTTAGAGTGCACAGTGGTGTTTCTCAGACCATAGGATCTTTTGTCCTAGTTACATTTTCTCTTTTGAAAATGTCACAACCCTGGTGGCTAAAGGGAAAAAAAAAACAATCCTTGAGTCTTTTAGGCACTCTTTATTCTAGTAACAGTGATTGTTCTTCATCTCTGTTGTTTTATTTGATGACATAATATATTTCACTGAGGCTGTGTAAGTGTGCTGTGCTTTGATGTGGTTTGTTTAAAGATATGTCATTCTTGATTTCTGAGCCTTTCGGGTGGAATGTTCAGTGTCTGAATGCTGTTTGAGTGCAAATATTGAATATGCTATCATATCCCATAGTGATAAGCAGTACCCCTGAAATGTCTTTGTAACTTTTGTCTCACAGTTCTTTATCAAAATTTTAGCATGCAGAGAGCATGTCTCAAACAACTCACCAACTGAATCCAGATCTGTTGTTCTTTGTTATTCTTTCCAAATATAGGGTGACTGGGTGATGGAATAGTGATGAAGCCTAATCGGTGGGGAAATATGCTTCCTCTACCCAGCTTCTCTCTTCTTTTCCATTTCATTTGCTTCTTCGTCCTTATGTGTTTCCCCTCAACCCATACCCAGTTTCTGCCAGAACCTAGAGCAGGACAAGGCCTGCTGCTCTTCACCCAGCCTGCCTATAATGCCTCCATCTTCGAGAACTCTGCTGCAAGAACCTATACCAGAAGTGAGGTCAAAATGGGCATAATCCTTGGGCCACCTCGGTCTTTAGATATAAACTATTCCATTGAGTCTGGAGACAGTGAGGGAATCTTCCAGGCTGAGGAATTTGTAATTGGAGATTTTTGTTTCCTCCGTATACGCACTAATGGAGGCAGTGGTGCCATACTGAATCGGGAAGTACAAGACAATTACACACTGACAGTAAAGGCATCTGCCCAAGGAGGCCAAGAGGCCTTAGCCACTGTTTATATCAAGGTCTTAGATACCAATGATCTCCGACCTCTCTTCTCCCCAACCTCCTATTCATTCATTGTGTCTGAGAGTGCCCCTCTGGGTGCCAGCATAGGACGTGTAACTGCCACAGATGCTGACATGGGCTCCAACGGGGAGTTCTACTACTTCTTCAAGAACAGAGTTCAACTCTTTGCTGTTCATCCGACCAGCGGGGTCATCACCTTGACAGGTCAGCCCAGGATGGACAAGCAAGACCGATTTGAGCTGGAGGTGCAGGTGGTTGACAGAGGGATGAAACTGTATGGGAACAATGGTATCAGCAGCACTGCTAGGCTGGTCCTGACTGTGGAGCGGGTCAATGAATTTGCTCCTGTTCTCAGTGCAGTTGCTGTCGTTCCATCATCGGTGGACAAGGACTCAGTCTATGCCAAAGTGACTGTGGAGGACAAAGACGAGGGGGTATCTGGGGATATAGAATGGGTCTCCATCATTGAGGGTGACCCCTTTGAACAGTTTGTGGTTGATCGATCGCCTGTCGGAAATGAGTATAGGGTTAAAACCTCAGAATTGGTCGACTGGGATGCATTCCCTTATGGCTGCAATTTAACCTTCCAGGCTAAAGACAGAGGTGTACCACCTAAGTTTTCTAATACCCAAGTTGTACAGTTGTTGGTTACAAAGCCAGATCCAGTGTTGGCAAAGTTTGAGAAAGAAATTTATGTATTTAAGCTGAGTGAAATAGCTCCCCCAGGCACTATTGTAGAGGTGGTGAAAATCTTTCCAGCTCCTCTGAGTGTCAATTACAGCTTCAGCAGCCTCTCAGATCCAATGTACTTTGATATAAACCCTTTGACTGGAGTTATTACGACCACAAGGCAGCTGACAAGGATATCGCAGGATTTCATGGAGATGGAGGTGGTTGATATGATTAGTCAGCAGCGGTCGAGGATCCAAATCATCATAGAAGATGCTAATGACAACTCTCCAGTGTTCGACAGGCCATTCTATGATATTGCAATCAACGAGAGCTTACCTGTAGGCACTGTTGTTCTTGTAGTGTCTGCTGTGGATGATGACAAAGGAGAGAATGGGGTTGTCACCCACACAATAAATGGTGAACAGTCTCTTCCATTTACCATAGAGCAGGACACAGGGGAGGTGAGGATCACAAGAGACCTGGACTTTGAGTCATCAGATGATATTTATACTTTTGCGGTGCGGGCTTCTGATTGGGGTTCACCCTACAGAAGGGAGAGTGAGGTTAATGTTACCATTCGTCTGCTAAATGTCAATGACAACCAGCCTCTATTTGAGATGGTTTCTTGCAGGGGGATGATAAGCCGCGATTTCCCTGTCAGCCAGACTATTGTCACCATGTCAGCTGTGGACATAGATGAATTAGAAATGGTGAAGTATAAGATACTGTCTGGGAACGAGTTAGACTATTTTAACTTAAATCCAGACTCTGGTGCTTTGTCATTGAAGAGGTCGTTAGCAGTAGCTAATTTAAAAAGTGGGATATTCAACCTGAAAATAGTTGCAACAGATGGAGAGATGTTTTCTGATCCTACATTTGTGAATGTATCTGTGGTGAGGGGTAGGATGCCACCCAGGGGGTTCAACTGCAAGGAGACTAGGGTAGCCCAGCTGTTGGCAGAAAAAATGCTCTCAAAAGCATCTGCCATGGCTAGACCAAGACCAGATGAGAGAAACACAGATCTTTTCTCTATGAACAAACAGGCTCCACAGTTTGAGGCCTTGCCCACTAGTATTCTAGTGAGAGAAGACCTTGCTACTGGCACCAGTGTATTTCAGGTGAGAGCCCGAGATGGTGACACAGGCTTCAATGGCCGTGTTCTCTTTTCCATATCTGATGGTAACAAGGAAAACTGTTTCAATATCAACATGGAGAATGGGCTGATAACTGTATTGCAGCCACTAGATCGTGAGCGTTTGGATCGTTACTTCCTCAATATCACCATTTACGACCAGGGCGTTCCTCAGATGTCCAATTGGAGACTACTGACTGTGATCATTGAGGATGCAAATGACAATGACCCCCAGTTTTATCAGGACAGCTTCTCTACTCTTGTTTCAGAAAACTCTGTCATCGGTATGGAAGTTATTACCATCACTGCATTTGACAGAGACATTGGCCAGAATGGACAGCTCTCCTACATACTGCTGACCAGTGTCCCTCAGTTTGGTATTGACAGCGAAACAGGAAGTGTATTTGTCGCTAGCCACTTGGACAGAGAAACAATCCCAATGTTCACCTTGAAGATTGAAGTAAGAGACAAGGCTGAAAGAGGCACTCGAAGGTCGTCAGTCACTACTCTAAGTATAATTGTGGAGGATGTCAATGATTGCGCCCCAGCCTTCATCCCTAGCAGCTATAATGCTCGAGTACTGGAGGACCTCCCACCAGGGGCTGCGATTACCTGGGTGCAGGCTCAGGACCCAGATATTGGCCCTGGTGGACAGGTCCGATACTCCTTGATAAATGACTTCAATGGCACTTTTGAGGTAGGTCATGTCTCTATTTGTATTGCCTAATGTCTTTACTGTTGCATATGCTGATCCTCTTTGTATTGACGGTTTATAATGAATGGAACTGTAATGCTTTTGTACAGGTCGATGCTGTGAGTGGAGTGTTGAGGATTAGGAAGGAGCTGGACTTTGAGAAACAGCAGTTTTTCAACCTGACATTACGTGCTGAGGACAGAGGAGTACCCAGCCTTATCAGTCAGACATTTGTTGAGGTGGAGGTGCGTAACCCCCCCCCCCCCCCAACAAACTAACACCGTGAGTATCGCGTGCACAGAAATAGTAAGATTTCCATATAATGGTGCAATGATTAGCGACATCTGGGTGTTGATATTACCACTCATGACGTCTGTGAGTGATATTGATTTTCCTTACATGAAATAGGCTTAAAAATGATCTTGTGTCACACCTGTGTCTTCGTCAATGGGTGAAAGTGCCCAGTACCGCTTGCCCCTCGTGACAGTGTACCTCATACGCCTCTCGCCCTGTCCGTCGTTCTCTGTGCGCTTGACCTGTCAGGACAACTTAGTGCCCGCACAACGGTTCTTCCTTCACTGAGCCTCTCACGCAAGAAGGTCGGGAAGTAGGGTGCAAGCAACTTCTCATTGACATCACCACCTAAAGAATGTAATGCTAACTTTTAATTTTGACAAAAAAAAAAGATGAGATGTAGTATCATGCAGGTATGATCAAAACTAAATGCATTAGACCGTGGCAACAAACCAGAAAGGAAAAGAAAAAAACTTCAATTGTTAGACCCATAATTCGAGCAACCTGATCACTTATGACTATACTTCAATAATAGCCATAATAATTTAGGCATGACACTGACGAAAAAAGATGCAAAAATAGTCAACATTGGTCGATAGTTGGGCATTTTGCCTTCCCTGTGGCGTGTGTGTGTGTGTGGTGTGTGTGTGTGT